GGTTTGGCAGAAACAGGGAATCTGGAGTCCACTTTTGAGCTCTGTAAAGTGCACAAAGTGCTCAGTTGGGATATTTTCTTCTCATACAGTCCATTTATGGAGGTGTTTGTTAGGTGCCAGTTCCCGTATTGGTAAGTTAAAAGATGAAAAACAAATCCCAGAAAGATGCATGCTTTTCCAGGTTTTGGGACACTTGTTGAATGGACCTCGTGAATGCAAGTCAAATAGAACAAAAATTTATTGGACGTGTAGGTGATGACAGATCCAGCCCCTGTTCAAATGAATGTTTTGTTTCTGAACTGCTTTACTGGCAGTTCCTCAGAGCATAACCTCTTTCCTGCCTCAGAAATGCTGGGCCAGAAACTTGGGCTACCTTACGTGGGTATCTCAGCAGCAGATCTTAGTATGTGAGCTACTCTGCCCGAAGCACGCTTGTGCAGTGTGCACCTCTGTAATAAAGTTTCTCAAGACTTAGCTTTTTTTTTTTTTCTCCCCCCCCAGCAAAGATGAGATTAAGACAGAAGCTGTCTCAGAGGAGGGTCAAGCAGAAGACACAACTGAAGATGTCGATGTTGATGTGGTTGGTGCAGACCAGGTAATTCCGGCCTGGGTTTTCCAGCTCTGAGGACAGCTGTAGTTGGGGTGGGTGAACGTGAGTTCAGAATCTTGTGAGTACCCACCGAGCAGCAAGCGGCTGCTCTTCTGTGGCCCCTGTCAGGCTTAGAGAAGAGTTTCTCCCTTCTTCCCTTTCCGGCTGTAGCTGTAGTCTCCTTCAGCTCAATCTGCATTTTTAAGGCAGTTCTTATTACAGCGTCTAGACATCGTTAGGTACATTGAGCACCAGCGAGGGTGCGTTCTGAGGAGGATCCCATTTCCTTTTTTCCCGTAGTGCGAAGCACCTTGATAAAGATCCGTTTGCTGCAGTTGCTTCATGTTACTGACACATGGCAGAGATGGCACTGCTGCATGGCCTGCAGGGAATGTCTGCTTCAGAAACGGTGTTTGCGTTGCGCTCCTTAGATAGAAAGACTCGGAATGTGTCCGATCACTCGTCAGCCCAGGGCTCTCACTGGAGTGTCCCTTGTTTCTTGCCCTTTTCCAGTCAGGGCTGCAGGGAGATTAAATTGTCCCCAGAGCAGCCGGGGATTTGAAGGGAAGCATGCGGACGTACTGGGCTGGGAGTGGCAGGCAGGGGGGGCTGGGGGTTGTCTTGCGGGCACCGGTTGCCTTTGGGATCAGATAATAGCTTGGCAAAACTGCAGCTGCCTGCCTGGGTCTCGGCTCAGCCCTGGAGCGGGTGCTTGCAGCAGGGAAGGACTTTCAGCCCTTCGGGTCGGTGGAGTGCAAGGACACCACGGGTCTTGCAGCGGCGACTGTACTGACAGGTGGGGGGGGAGAAAAAAATAGAGAGGCCCTGAGGTTTCCCATGCTGCAGCCTAGAACATCTCTCCTGTCCTCTGAGGGTGTCCTGTGTCGGCCATTGCTAGGGGCTGGGTGGTTCCTTCAGGTGTTTCTCCTGTCTTTCCCCCGCTCTCTGAACTTCCGATGGAATGTAAATGCAGTGTTTGGCAGACAGGGTTTTTGCAGTGATTCAGGCAACCCCTTGATTTCCAGTGGCTCTGGTTATCTGGGATCTCTGAGCCACATTCAAAGACCTTGTCTGATTTTTGACTTTTTAAATGAGTTTTTCCTGTAAAGTTGAACAAATGGTTTCTTTTCATATTTGAGTGGTGGTGGGTTTGTTTTAAAGAGGACTAGAAGGAAAAAGGGACTTCTAGTCTTCCAGTCATATGCCTTTTATAAAATGTAAAATTTGTTTGGGCCGTATGCTTGGACCAAGACCGAAGCCACACTGAAAACAGACTACTTACGTGGCCTTTCCCTGCAGTGCCTTTTCTGGGCGCCTTGTGGTAGAGAAATGCTTCTTTCCTCTTGTGGAAGCTAAATGCAGTGCTTTCCGAGAGCCACCTGTGGCCAAGCTGCTAAATGGTTAGGGGCTACACTTTCATTCTGATGCCTTATGTGCTCTTAGATGATGTTTTCTTGTTAGTATGAGACTGACTTAAATCTTTTTTTCTTCTAATATAGGACAGTTAAGAAGCTGAGAGGATAAATGGAAGTGAAGAACATGCTACCGTTTTTTTCTGCAAATTGTTTAACTGAAAAATGGGGTTGTGATGGTATCAACCAAGGCAGCAGGAGAGCTGGATCAAGTCAAGTCTCTGCCTGTGGGGATCCAGCCAGAACCGGTTCGGTACAAGCACTGCGCTCGATTTCTCCATGTTGCTGTTCGTGGCGTTACCGATTTGGCCGTTGTGCTTCTAAGGCTGCGGGCGTTCTGAACATCATCGTTGCTCAGCTGCAGCCGGGGCCTGGGTGCTGCCTTGGAACAACTCCCAGCCGAAGGACTGGAAGCGGGGTATTGACAAATTCTGAGTCAGAGACTGAACTAGATGAGACAAGCTCGCTCGTGCCAGTGCATGGGCAGTGTTCTGCTGGACGTACTGGTTAACTTGTGAGATAACCACGATGGATGCCTGCTCACTTCCTTGTAGCCTGGCCCAGCTGTGACCTGCTGGGTGATGGCAAGTGACCTGGCCATGCCCTCTCCTGCCTGTAAGATGGAGAACCTGGATTTCTGAATTCCAGTGCTTAGGGAGATGTGGTATGTGGGGCTCAGGCCGTGTTCCCAGGAGGCTGGCATCAAGGCTTCTATGTAACAAAGAAAGAAGCAGCGGACCAGTTGACTGAGTATTTTCCTCTGGAAGAAATCATTCCTATGCAGTGATCATGTGGTATTTACTTGGAAAATACAAAGCCTGAAAAGACAATGTAAATAGACTGTAAATACAGCCCTTCACAGAAGTTGTTCCATTAAGAATTTGTAAATGCTCTTCACTCAAGAGTGTTTCAGGGGCTGGGGCGTGCTGGCTGCTTTTGCTGACCCTTTGTCACTGCTCCATGGAATCACACACTGCATTAAGCCTATCAATCATCAGCTTTAGTTTTTTTTATACATGTATGTAGGATTGTAACTGTGTAAAATAAACTACATAACTGTTGCTATCCGTTAGTATTAAAAGTGCAGGAGACCTTCCCACACTAAGTCTGGAGACAGAAGAGCAGCAGGGCTACTGGCCTTCCAGTTTGCCCTGTTATTAGACAGACAGAGAAGTGAGCTCCCAGGAGCGTGGAATGGAACGCCATGAATGTCTCCAAGGTGTCCTCAAGTGGCAACAGTAGAAGTGTTGCATTTTGTTTCACATAGTTAAGTCTGCAGTAGGCCAATGCGAGGGGAGAGGCAGCACTCCACAAGGTGATGCCAATTCTCACCCCAGCCCACTTGTTCTCCATTCCCCGTGACTCTCCCCCACACCTGGACTGGGATAGCCATGTTTACCTCACCAAACATGCAGATACTTTAATTCTTGCAATGAAAGACTAGGGCTAGGAATTATCCTTCTGGGGGAAGGTGCAGTAATCTTTCTCATTCATGTTTTGCAAGAAAAGCAATTTCCACAATAACACCATAATTTGCTCTACTGGAGCTGTGCAAGTCCTTTAGGAAAAAAGGGACTTGGTTATCACAAGTATAATGGAGAGCAGGGTTTAGCAGGCACTTCAATAAATACAAAGCATCTCCCCTCTGCAGCAGAGACCTACCCTGCACCATAGCTCTGTGTGTTTAAGGGAAAAAAGGCAGTGTGCAATGCAAAAGCCCTTGGCTGTACATGCCCCTGTACAAGCCCCCTTGTGAAGAAGGGGGGATGCAGGTAGGGAAAAGCAGCAGGCCACTGCCTCTTGACAGCAACAGAAGTTCAAGATAATCTCCCAGAAAGCCAGTTAGTCCTCATTGCCTCCAGCACCTCTGGGACCACAGCTTCACAGAAATGCTCCATCTTCACTGCTGAAAAACCCCAAGGGAATCTGACCAGCACCAGGGAAGTGTGACATTTAAGAAGACTCATCAAACTGGAGTGATCAACCCTGACTTCATTTTTAAGAATCCTTTGAAGGCTATTAAAACAACTTGAGTTTTCCTCAGAAAGGCTCACTTACAGATGTTAGTGATGAGTTTCATTACTTGAGATACACAGGTCTGTCAGTCTCTACGCAAAGTACTGTGAGGAGTTGAGTGGAACAGATTTACCAGTTCCAGCTGTTCAGCAACGCTGTCTTCTGGATGAAGAAACACCTGCTAGAGCTTGATTGCTTTGAATGTGCAGCAAGACTGCAGACATGTGTAACCCACTGTATCTTAAACTGTTCTTTAAGAGTAGGCAGTTAATTGCATGCAGCACGTAATAATTAGAACTCTTACATTACATGTATGAAAATCTTTATTTGAAAATACAAACATGATTTTTTAAACATTTTAACAAATCTACACTGCAACCAAAAAAATAACTTACATCTTTTTGTACATTTTTTTTTTTCCAATAAAACCAGTTTAACAGTAGGAGTGAGGCAACAATTTCAAGCTGCTGTGACACTGATGAATACCCATGGAATGTGTCAATAGCACACAACTGAAGGGGGGGGACAGACAAAAGCACTGAATGCCCACAACAAATTAGTGCACATCACCGATCAAGTAACATTTATACAAAGGATTTAAAAAAATTGGTTCCTTCTACATGAATGAACACACTCATTTTGGATCAAGTATGAACACTAAAACAGACTTTGTTATTAAATAACCTTTGTCATGAACATCAATGAAAAGACTGAAGTTTAAAGGGGCAAGTAAAATTAAAGTCGGGGCCGACAAGGACTACCAGAGGAGAGAAGCAACTAGTCTCAGGCATTCGCTTTCCTCGTGCACCAATACGCTCAGCTTGTCAAACAAAACGCGGTTTGTAAGTGTCCCACCCAGTCACGTCTCTTCCTTGCCAAGGCCTCAGAGCCCTGGAACTGCTTATGAGCGCGTCAGCCTCGCGGGGCAGGTATAAATTGTCTCCTTACCTCCCGTACCAGGACAAGAACGCCTGGGCGCACATGGGACGGAGATGGTCAGTGCACCACACATCAACTTAGAATTACACAGGTCTCAGAAACAGTAGATTACTTTTAGAGTCTCTAAAGTCCAATATTGTTATTCTTCCAAAAGGAATTACGCAACATCCGTAAATAAATATTTTAATCTATTTTACAAGCTATAGACTATTGAATAAATACAAAAAGTTTTATCATTCAATACAAACGCGCTTCTTCTCCTTAAAAGGTAGTGTAGTGATTAAATATTTTTAGCACAAAACTAAGCTGACTTCCTGGAAACAAACCCCACTGAAACATGTAGGTGTGTAGCAGACCTGCTGCAGGCTGTCCCTTCTCTTCTGCAAGTGCTGATCAGAAGTAACCACTACTCAAAGTCCTCTTCGTAGTCATATTCATCCAAGTCTACATCAGCCAGATGGGAAGGCATTTCAAAAAATGGTCTTTTTTCCATTTGATACTTGAGGACATTGGCCTTCTGATGGTCTACAGGATTCAGCTCTGGTTCATACCTAGGAGCAAGCAAAGAAAGAAAATGAGAGAGTCTTGCTATGCTGGGAAGTGCCCAAATGCTGGAACACTAACAAGGCACCCACAGGACAGACATAATTTCCAATATTTCATATTCACAGTAAAATCATAAATAGAATCATGGAATTGTTAAGGAAAAGACATCTAAGGTCAAGTCCAACCATCAACCCATCACCACCATGCCTGCTAAACCACGTCCTGAAGTGCCACATCTACACATTTTTTGAACACCTCCAGGGATGACGTAACCAGAAGCAGCACTAGGCTTCTGTCAGAATTACTTAAATTTAAGCTAGCTTACTCTCCCTTCATGCGCAGAGCTTTTAATTGGTGAGATACGCAGCTTTACTGAAAGAATTCAGAGCAGGTACTGCAGAAATGGTCAAACGCAAGACTCAGGTGCTTGACAGAAACCCTTTCAGAGGATTTCAAGAAAGCTGAAATTATGCTGCATTGGGTAGAACAAACTACACCTGTTGTAGATACAAAAGAGAAAGAATACTGAAAGTGTTACTAAAACGCACATGAGCCCAAGGAAGTGATAGGAACCAACTGTGTATTTAAAGCAGATGCTAGAAAGCAAAAGCCAATTGTTTAATGAGAAATTGCTGATAACTGCCTGCTGCTGATGCAAATGAACAGACAGATAATGAAATGTAAGGTTTAGCTAACTCAAGTCACTGAAGACTGACTTAAGAAGATCAGCTTCAGCACTGTTTGGGTGGGATCAATCTAGAATTGATAGCTGTTTAAAAAAAATGAAACTTAGATGTCCATAGAGATTTATGAGGTCAGATTAATAAAAAAAGTGAAACTTAGATGTCCATAGAGATTTATGAGGTCAGATTAAAGAGCTGACCACTTCCCAGGCGAGGCTGACTCAGGTTCATGCACGTCTTCCCAAGCGCTACCAAGTCTCATCTCCGCAGGCGACCATTTCCAGCTGCTCTCGAGACTGGGCAAAGTACGAGCTTTAGACACTGCAGTATCTGTTCTTCAAATGTGACTTTGTAACAGCATTAGGTGGTGATTAGAAGTGTTCTTTCAGAGAAAGACACAGGGCAAAGAAGCTCAGTACTAAGAATCCAGGATGAACACTAGAACAGAGTACTGTTAATAGGAGAGGTGGGAGCAGGAGCAACAGTTTCATTGTGAATGCAATTCTGTTGAAACATGTCAGAGATAAGCAAACATTAAGCCAGCTTCACCATTTTGAGTAAAAAATATTTAACAACATAAAGATGCTTTGATAACATCAGGTAAAGATTAAGCAGAAGTAGAAAATAGTTCCTGATTTTTTTTTTTTCCTGTTTTTGTTATTTCATCCTTCCCTGGGGTATTAAAGCCTTGATTATGTGAGCATCAATCAGTGCAGCAAACAGAATACCTTGGGTTTCTCTTACAAGTTCAGCGCTGATTTGAACGGGAAACAAAAGTCATCCTCAGAGTTACTTTATCGAGTTACACATCTGAACACAAGGATTTGGAAGAAAGATGCATATTCTACCGTAACAACAGTTTTAGCTCAAATACCTGTAATTTATAGTCTTCTACACCACTCATTCCATCTTTGGGGATGGTTTTTTTGTTTGTTTTCTTTTTTTAAACAGAAACATGTTCACACACCATTTGGATTTGCTTATTGCATAGTGGTGCAGGGAGGCGACAGCAGCTACACCAGTCGTTAAACACGGCAGCATGGGAATCTCTCCAACACTGTTTGCAGGTTCCAGCTATCCTATACGCAGGAGATTGTTCTTCAAACATTATTGGGCCAAATGAAAATCCTACTCTCCTCCAAAGCTTTGGTGGCCTCATGGAATATCACTTTTACTCCTTTCCAAGATACTAAGGAAATTTAGAAACGCTGTCTCAGTTTTCCTGAAACTGAGTTACTTCTCACAGTATTAGAAAGTCTATTGCTATTCCCAGCACAGAGGTTTTCATAAAAATAAAACCATACAGCTACAGCCCCTCTAAGAAGTCCTCCCCCTCCACTTCTAAAGCTCATGCAAATGTAAAGAAATCAGCCTGTTTCTAGATCTCTCTATACCACTCCCAAGTTTCAGATCAACTTTTAATAGGAACATCAGGAAAATATTTACCATCTGAGGTAATCCAATAAAACATTCATACTGGGTTGTCAAACAGTCACTTCAGTTTGGGCAGGCATTACAACCTTAAGTGCAGTAAGTGATTTTAAGGAAAGTTTTTGTACACCACAGTAACTTAAAATGCTCATAATGTATTTTTGCTGGTGTTCTTGCATCATACCCCTTCTCTCCTCCATGTCCCAGTGTACTCCACTATATCATTCTTTGACCACGGCGCTGGTTTTCCTTAAGGAGTGCATTCACATAGCGAAGGTGCATTTTTTCTAGCATTATTAGGAGTCTACTTTATGCACCCTACATTCCACAGTATTCTCTGTATTCCTTAAGTTGTAATTGCACGGACATACAAAGAAGACTGTGCCTATGCCATGGAGAGAATAAACTTCCTGGAAATACCTGAAAAAACTTACGTGTCCAAAATCTGTTAGAACTTTACTGGAGAGTGGAAATTTCAGGTAAATTAAAAAAAAATAAATCTAAAGGTTTAACTTCAGAAACATTTTGTACTTTAGTTTCCATTTTGTCCCCTTTCTGTGTAAAGCCACAGAACAATGGTTTCAGGTACACTTCGGATAAATTTTTCACGGAAAAGAACAGAAGTGATCTGACCCTGAGTACACTGGCTGTGAATTTTGCAGCTTTTATCTTCACCAAGAGCAGACATATTGGAGGGGGGTGGGAAATATATAAAATTAAAATAATTTAGTCTAAACAATAGTCAGAGATGCTCCTAGTTCAGAGAAACTGCTGCAGTCAATGAGTTAACAACTGAATCACAAGAAAAGCACCTTGAGGCTCCTTATCTCCCATCTGCACTTGTGGGTGAAATTGTACCTAAACATTATCTTAGAACTTTACAAAATGACCCTTCTCTACAACAGCCCACCAATTTCAAACCCTTATCAGAGGTGCAGAATAACTTGACTTCCTGACACGCGGGTCCCTTACTATTAATATCAAAAGGGTATTTTGCCTCTGATGAGTTTCAGATGCCAGCGATATCGTAGGCTGTCTCAGGACAGAACACTGGAGCAACAGCTGAAATCCTTCCTTGACAACCTAGCCAAGGACTCACTCTTGCAGACCACGTAGGATACTTCTGGACCCTCAGTAGATCTTGACTGACAAGAGAATGAGTTTCTCAGGGTATTCCACAGCAAAGCTGGAAGAGGCTTTAAGAGCGGTAAGACAGAATAATAGGATCTTAGTGGAATCCTGGAAATCTGCATTTAACTACCAGCTCTCGGGTGAGGTTGAGACAAATTTAGTCAAGAATCATCTCAGTTTCACAACTTTATCTGAAAATGGGCAAAATGGGCTTATCACTCACTTCCTAGAACATCACAACAGCAGCAGAATTTTAAAACAGGAAGGTGGAGACCCACACAACTACTGCCATAGAAGTAAACAAACAGACCAGCAGAAGGGAGAGAAAACAAGGCCAAAACAACAGCGGTGTAGAACACTCGAGAAAGTGGTTCTAGTTAAGATTTCAGATGTTCAGATTTAACAGTACCTCGAGGCTCCTAAATGCTAGCCATTTCTGCCTCGAGCCTGGGCTCTCCACTTGGCATGCTGATGCACTGATTTACTGTATTCCTCTAAGGGGGCCCCACTGACTGACACTGAGATGATGGCGGATGCCGTAGGGGCTGGTCTGACCCTGTCAGAAGAAGCCTAGGTCCACCAGTAACTGTTCAGAATTTTGACTCCTGATGGTTTAAACGTGTTAATTTTACAAGGGCATTCTAAAACAGAGCGCCAAAAAAAATAAAATCAGAATCATAGAATCATTAATGTTGGAAGAGATCTCTAAGATCATCAAGTCCAACCATCACCTCAACACCAGCAGGCCTACTGAACCATGTCCTGAAGGGCCACGTCCACACGTTTTTTGAACGCCTCCAGGGATGGCGACTCCACCACCTCCCTGGGCAGCCTGGTCCAATGCCTGAGCACTCTTTCAGTAAAGAAATTTTTCCTAATATCCAATCTAAACCTCACCTGATGCAGCTTGAGGCCGTTTCCTCTCCAAATCCTTCAGCAGTTTCTAAGAATCCCGCTTTGTCAGCTGAGTTACTTATAACATTTCACAGCCAGGAAGACTGTAGAAGCTGTTCTTTTCCCCAGTCCATCAAATTTAAGCTATTATACTCAGCATTACAGTGTCTCAAACAATTGTCAAAAATGTACATACCTATTTTATACCTTCCCCAAACTTAGTCTATGACCTTAAGAGATCAAACAAAAAAAACACTGAAGATATAACATTGCCTAACTCACAGTAACAAAACTTCAGTTATTTTCTGGCTTATGTCCATAATATTAATCAATTCTAGGGGAGGATTCCACAAAGAGTTAAGCATATGATCCTCCTTAATGCTGAAGAGGCTGGGTAATGATAACAATTGTCTCCCTCCCCTTTCTCCCCTCATACGCTTTCTTTTATGAAGTTTCTTGAAATCAATGTGTGACGAGGATTTTGATTTTGCAGGTTTTAAAGCAGTCTCTTAAATATTCTCTAAATGCCTAGCAAGAATCCAAGACATTTTAAAATGGAATACGGATGTAGAAAACGCAGGACAATGTTTTCTCTAGATGGGTCCATCAACTTAAGGCCTAAAACAAGTTAAATTTGTACTTGTTTTCCTTATCTTTTTATGTAAGCAAAACGAATGGCAAATCTGGGACTTTGGATTCCAGGAGGTTCTGGAAGCTACATAGCAACAGTAGAGGAGTAATTTTGAAACTGCAAGATTATTATCTTATTTATTCTTGGAGAACTGTGAGAAAATACTTCTAAGCTGACAGAATTTAGGAGTTCAGAAGTAAGAATGTTTTCCCCAGAAAACTTTTAATGAAGGTCTTCATTCATTTAACAACGAGCTACACAAAATTAATCTTGTATTTAGTTTAGAGCTGAAACTTTTTCAAATCTTTTTTCCTCCCAAGATCTGAAGCGGGACCTTTTATTTTACAAAACCAACGTGATCACCAACCATCAAGCAATATGCAGTTAGAGATATGAGCAAAGTTCTTCCTCCCTCACTGAGCACACTGTGAAACACAACAAACAGCAATGTTCTAACAAAAGGAGCATCAAGAATGGTAGTGGTGGGGAGGCTCCACATTAGTGGTGGGGATTTGTACCAACCCTCCTGCTAAGAATGTCTTACCCATCGTTCCACTGGTCACTTGCTGCCTCTTCTGCTACCAAGATATCGTACTCTTCAGCAGCGTACTTCTCCCAGTCAGAGACCTCTTGGCTTTCACCTTCGCCATCCTAAACAATCACATTGCAAGTTATACAGAAACATATTGTTTGCTAAGCACATAGCTAAAAAGACTTTTAAAGCTTCATACTCACCCGCAACATAGAAAACTGATCCTTCTGTTCATGGTCAAGGTATTTTTCAATGTTGAAAAACGTATCAAAAAACACATTTGTCAACTTACATCGCTTTAAATCATGCAGAGTAATTTTTCCTGTAAAGAAGATTACAAGAAAAGATATTTAGGGGTGAAATTGTCCTTTCTCTAAAAAGGAGGAATGTTATTCAAATTTAAGTCATCATTATGCTTAAGAACATTTGTCACTGATGCTCAACGCAATGGGAGAGAAGTGAACAGATGAAATGCACACCTAGAGAAGTGTCTTTCAAAGCTGACAGAACTTTTAAATGTTTCAGGTTTGTTAACCGCTTTACCTGTCATCCTACTGTCCTTCAGTATCTTGGAGTGATATGAAGTCTGCCTCACGTAGCTATTAAATACTATTGAAGCTAATTGTCTAAGCTTCCTCAAGAGACAGAAGTCTCCAGTGAGCTACCTGATCCTTCTCAAGTAGTGCTCAGGTAGCAGGTAGGAATCTCTTCTGACAGTGGCCCTTTCTCTTCCCTGACTTCAGAAGACAAACGTATGATAGACAACAGCATGTGACTGTGCTTCATACAAATGAATTTTTCAGAGAGACTAGTTTGCCACCTTGTCCAGCCTGATCAATGTTTACTGCTTGAGAGGAAAGCTAAGTGCTCAGAGGCGGGTTTTTTTTGGGATTTTTTGTTTGTTTTTTTTAATAAAGCAATATTTTAAAGACTCACATCAATGGACCCATTAAGTGTTAGAACTATTCGTGGGGTGTACAGCCCCATGCTGGGGTGGGCAGTTGTCACAAACATCCCCAGGACAGAGTGAGCAATTGTCTCAAACATCCATCTTGGGAGAAACTGATAAAGATGCTCAAATCAAACTCCTAAATGGGGCATTGTGCTTTGGGAACTTCCTCACCTTGCTAAGGGAGTGTGGTAGACTGAGCAAAACCTTGCGGAGGCAGGGTGGTCAGCTTGTGAAACCCACCTAAGTCACATAGCCAAGGAAGCTGAGCACTTGCCTTTGGGGGAGGAATGCGAGACCACCAAGACTCCCCCCCCCCCCCCGCTCCACCAACACTTTTACAAGAGAC